GGCGGCCGCGCTGAGGGAGCCGGCTCCGGTCAGTATTGCGTCCCACACGCCCTCGGTCCAGCCAGTCCCAAAGCCCAGGGCAGGTGTGTTTGCTCAGGTTGCAGGCCCGGGTGCCGGGAAGGAGAGGCGCTTGTAGAGGAGGTCCCTGTTTCTGACGTCCAGGACGGCGGAGCGTGACGGGAGTTAGGGAGTGTGGCTGGCGTGGGGACTCAGCAGGAGGATTCGGGGACCGAGTCGTCCTCAGCTTGTACGGAACAAAGAGGAGAGGCGGAGTTACTCGAAAAGCAGGTTTAGGATTAATTGTCTGAAGTCTAGAAATCATGGAGCGTTTTGAAGAAAGGAGGGACACGATCTGTGTTGGGATTTTAAAGTTTTCCAAAGGTGTTCGGGAATAACTTAGTACAGGTGGCGGTGAGAACAGAGGCACTGAGAAGTTGCTGCTTTGGTCATGGTCACGTAGCTAGCGATAATCTAGGCACAGATGTAATAACAGATATCTTGAGGTCACTTGGCTGTAGTGCCAGGAAAGGATACAAAGTCTGAGCCCATTAAACCCCACCTCGTACACATTCCTGGAAGTCTACATCTTCACACAGGTTCTTGGCGGTTGTTCACTTTTGGAACCCGGGTAGGGAAGTCAGTGGTATTCTAGACCCTCATACATTCTAACCCCAATTCCTTATCTTCTCTGGAGAATGGTGTGGACTTCTAAATGCCATTTCTTTTTTGATCAATTTTTTTTAAAAAAAGAATTAAGTTTATTGTTATTATTATCATTTTCCAGCTTAATCAGGAGAGAAAGAGAGGGAAAATGAGAAAGCAATCCATACTCTCTCTCTGGCCAAGTTAAAAAATAATAAGAAGAAAATGAAATAAATAATTGTTTCCTTCCCCAAAGAAGAGTTTTTGCTTCTAGCAGCTGTAGTGATGGAAGCGGTGTCAACTGAAATAAGCTAGTTAGTAGTAGGTATAATATTCTCTGTGGATATCAGACAGGTGTTTTGGCCACATTGAGAGTCTAGGATGTTTCAGAGACTGCTATGTTGAGGCATCAACTGGGCAACTGGATACACAGGTGAGAATATCTGGGGAAAGATTATTGGAGACATCCAATATATGGTGGCTAACATGTGAACCAAGGTGAGTGAGTTGTGGGTTACATTTAGGAGGGGCAATCTTTTTTTTTTTTTTTTTTTTGGAGAGATTTTCACTGTAGGGCGCGTGTGCTCGCCAGACAGACAGAGAGAGACATAGAGACAGAAAGCGAGAAATCACTCCCCAGGGGGGTGGTCATGCCGCAATCCCTTCTCCTCCATTCTCCTCTCGGGATCTTGGGCACGCACGCACACGCGCCCGGCATGAGTTTTAAGCCACC